ACACACACACACACACACACACACACACACACACACGGTAGTTTTAAAGGTATACTTTTTAATTTCCACACAATAGTTTATAGAGTCGAAATAAGAAACCCATAAACTTCGCATGGCTTATGTACATATTACAAATATAATCTACATAGTTATATTTTATTTATGTTATTGTAGTATTTTTTTATTTTAGGAGGGGGAGGGGCATGGAGAGGAAGAGAGAGAATCCTAAGGGGGGGTCCATGCTCAGTGTGGAGCCTGATGCGGGGCTCGACCCCACGCTCTGGGATCATAAGATAAGGAGTTGGACACTCAATCGACTGAACCCCCCAGGTGCCCCAAAGTTGTATTATAATTATAAATACTTAGCGTAATTACCCTAGTGGCTAATCTTACACCATCACAGTGTGCAGCCCTTTAACAGGAAGGGAAATAGCAACATTATTTTATATTAGGTTTGCAGATCTTAATTTTATCAAAAATCAGTGTCAACGTTAGTGTCTTCTATGTCAAAAGCTTCCAGACTTAGATTGGCCTTTGTTTACCACCACTGCACTGTTCTAAATGGGGATGTTCGAACTTCATAGCCATCATAGTCAAGGTGGTTGGTCTTCATGAATACCTATGTAGAAGAAAAACATTGATCCTGCTGTCTGCATATCTGAGAAGGTTGAACTAAGTTCAGAGAATTACATGTAATGGTGAAAATGAAGATTTAATAAGATGCAAACGGCAAAAGAAAAATTATACTTGATGATGCCCTTATGTGAGAAGCATTTCCAGTAATAATTATAACTTGTAATCATAGAAAAATCCAACTAGTCCACACCACCAGGTTGGTGGAAATTCCACAAGTCAGAAACACGGGTATTGAACACCTTGAATAAGCAGTAATATCAAACCACCCTTGAGTACGCTCTACCACTGAGATGGTGTCCCGCCTAAGAAAAAGCAGAGGAAAGCAATGTTCTTGACTGAGCCAAATATAACTTAGTCAAGAATCATCGATGCTATCATCAGGGATTTGGGTCAAAAAAGGAAATTACATCTATTGGAGCAGGAATTTGCGTCAAAAAATTTCCTTTTATTTTCTTAATTACAAAAGGTCTAAAAGGAATTTAAGGGGCGCCTGGGTGGCGCAGTTGGTTAAGCGTCCGACTTCAGCCAGGTCATGATCTCGCGGTCCGTGAGTTCGAGCCCCGCATCAGGCTCTGGGCTGACGGCTCAGAGCCTGGAGCCTGTTTCCGATTCTGTGTCTCCCTCTCTCTCTGCCCCTCCCCCGTTCATGCTCTGTCTCTCTCTGTCCCAAAAATAAATAAACGTTGAAAAAAAAATTTAAAAGGAATTTAAGCATTAATACAAATTTCATACATTTTAATTTCTCCAGCACAACTCTGTGAAGTAATTAAAACATTTTAAGGAGCTCCAGCCAACTCTATAGTAAAAATGAGATCTGAAGACCAAATAGTAATCCAATACTTTGGAATTGCTGTCACAATCATATATAAAAACATATCATGATGTAGTTCCCAAGTGCGAAAAAAATGCACAGCTTTAAAGCTATATCTTTTATATCCTAAGCTAGAGCTATTGACAACCTGGATGAAAATTAATTTAGGTTTTAGGAAACCTATTTGGATTAAACTTAAAAGGTCTATGAGTTGGGGCACCTGGGTGACTCATTCGGTTAAGCGTCCGATTCTTAGGCTCAGGTCAGGATCTCATGGTTCAAGCCCAATGTGGGGCTCTGTGCTGACAGTGCACAGCCTGCTTGGGATTATCTCGCTCCCTCTCTCTCTTCTCCTTCCCTGCTTGTTCTCTCTCTTTCTCTCTCAAAATAAGTAAATAAAACTTAAATAAAAAAAATTCTATTAGTTGAAAGCACTGACCATGGGGTAACTGCACTCCAGTCCCCTAATCTCAACTTTCACCTACTTACCAGCACATCTGCCTTGCCACTTAGCCCCTGCCCATAGTTGTCAGTCGCGATGACTTGGAATTTGAAGTAGGACCTTCTCATGTTGTGGAAAAGCATAGCGGTTTTGATGAGCCCGGTATATGTTTCTACAACAAATCCTTCTTTTCCCTCTTTAATTGGTGGAATGATGAGTCGGTATGCCATGGCGCTATAATTGCCAGTATCTTTGTCAGTAGCCTAGGAGGGGAAAACAAAGCAAAACAAAACACAGGGTATAAATAAGCAGGAAAAACATAGCCTATATTAAAGGGCTTATTTCTGTTTGTAAGACTGATGTTCTTTTGTGATAATAACACAACACAACCCTCTTAACTGTCTATTGTTCTGGATATCATCCTGTAGATTATCAGCCTTTGTGTCCACAGGGATGAATGATAATGACTACCCAGGGTGAATTCCAAGGACACAGACACTAACCCGGTCCAGTCAGTGAATCAAGTGTTTTGATTGGCATGTCTGATACATTCCACTCTGGGCTGGGATCCAAATTGGTTTAAGGATGGGATTGATTGTTTACCTAGCCATTGTCTTGTGTAATAGACATAGCTTGTGATAGTGCTTTTCATCTAACCCATTTCCGAAAGGGGAAAAAATAAAATAATGCACTAAAATCTCTCAGATGACAAGAAGAATAAAAGTTCAAAACTTTTTAATCAATAAGTCTAGAGATATATAAAGATCCTAATTAGTTAATGCCATGTCATAATTAGAGAAGGTTAGAATACTAATTGTTCCTTTTTAATCACTCAATATCCTGATTAATCAGATTTGTTCCTAGTTGTAGGTACTAATGATCTACATGTTAAGGTTTCTTAATATTTAGAATTTAAAAAGGTAAATAGTTGTTTAGAGGTCTTTTGTAATGAAGGTTTGAGGGTAATATATTAGTCTGGCTCTATAGCTTCTACTTCAGAGATGTTTCAGAACACAAATTTGAGAATTATTTCGTAGTGAAATATTTGGAGGAGGAATAATGGATAGGAGAGTCTTAGTGAATTTATACAAGGTTATGTACACCTGCTTCATGATACTAGATATATAACTTTTATATTGTTATTATTCATTATTTTCATTATCTAGTTATTTTTACTAAAAGTATTATTAAATGTCATGTATCAAGCATTTTCGATGTCATTACATTGCTAAGGATTCTACAAAGCATCATCCTTTTAAATACAAACTCTGAGAAATGTATTATGCCAATTATATAAATTAATGCTGTCTAGTGAAACTTTCTGTGGTGATGGAAATGCGCTAAATGTGTTCTAACACAGCAGCCACTAGCCACATATGACCAATGAACACTTGAAATGAGGCTTATGTGACTAAGAAACTGAAATTTTAATTCTAATTAAAGTGATATGGCCAAAGGCTACATAGTAGGTGGTGAAGTTGGGATATAAATAATGACAATAATAGTGAATGCATGTTAAAGGTTACCATGGGCTTGGATCTCCATCTTCAAATTCTCTATATATGTGCTCAACCATTGGAAACATTTAAGGATAGCTCTACCTTTCTATTAAACAAGGTAACTTAAAGTAAGCAAACAAAGAGATATTTTCCTTCAGGATAAGAGATTTCTTGAATTTTGTCAAAATGACTTTCTAAGAAGTCAGATGAGCTGAGCTCCAGCACCAACTCATCTCTGTAGATGGTCTATGTTTCACATGATGGTGGAGCTGAGTTTTGGCATTAGAGGGACAGTAATTAGATTTCAACATTAGATCACATTATCACTAAAAGGGGAAGAAGAACAAAGAAAAAATAGTTATCAAAGTGTTTCTTTTTAAGCTTTGAACTCAGGCGTTTTATTCATTTAATAAAGTAGAACATAAAAAATAAAAAAGCCCATTCCCAACTAAAATTAAAATCAGAGTTTGAATCAAGTAATCAAAGACATTTCTTTTGCATACGATGAGCAAACTTGGGACCAATGACAAATAGGTCAAAGATTTGGTTGAGTATTATCCTTTAACTTATAATTAGCATGGATGTTTCCACTGAAATAAATTTTTTACTGTTAATGCAAATGACAGTGAAGTATTAAAAACATGTACAAAAATGCACAAATCGTAAGAATACAAGTCAAAAAAATTGCAAACGATGCACATCCACGTGACTAGCACCTGCTTCAAGAAAGAAAACATTACTGCATCCCAGAATGTTCTCTATATCCTCGAACAACACCTACTCCCTAGGGAAACCACTGGCCTTATTTCTAACACCATTCAGTAGTTGCGCCTATTTTAAAATGTTATGTTGATGGGATCACACTATATGTTCCCTCTTCTATCTGAATTCTTTTACTCAATTTTGTGTTGTAAGATTCTAAACCCTTATATTTTTAAATTGTTATAGGCATTTTAAATCATTTTATTTCATCTTCCCTCTAACACCATGAGATAGGTATTATTATTCCCTATTTTACCTATGAAGAACACAAGACTCCAATAGTTATATACCTAATCCACTTAGCTCTTTCTGTGCTTCAGGATTCGAATTCTGATCATTCCGACTCTAGAATCTAAGTCCAATTCACCACATTTCCCATGCTCCCAAGTATTTACAGCTAACATCTAGTCCTGTGCTTTTTTCTTTTTAATTTAAAAATTTTTGTAATTTGAACTTGACACACAGTGTCACATTAGTTTTGCGTGATTCAACATCTCTGTGTGTCATGCTGTGCTTACCCCAAGTGTAGCTACTATCTGTCACCATATAACTCTATTGCAGTATCATTGATGACATTCCTTATGCTGTGCCTTTCATCCCTGTAACTTATCCATTCCGTAACTGGAAGCCTGTACCTTCCCCTCCCCCCCCCTTCTCCCCTTTTGTCCATCCCCTACACCCCTCCACCAGCAACCATCAGTGTGTTCTTTGTATTTATAGGTCTGATTCTGCTTTATGTTTGTTTACTTGGTTTTGTTTGTTTGTTTGTTTTAGAGTCCACAAATGAGTGAAATTTTATGCTACTTGTCTTTCTCAGTCAAACAAACCTTTGTATTTTTAAATGAACCCTGTAGCTCAACACAATTATATTTAGGAAAGAAAAGGTAGTTACAGTAAAATCATTGTGATTGCTTGGTACATTCTGTTTCTTTGTACAGTTCTTACTGATTAACTTCCAATTTCAACAAACAAGTAATTTCACTTTCTAGTATTTCTAAGTTACTAGAAACCACAATTTAGATAACCACAAAGTAGACAGGTTAACAGGTTAAGGTGCTTTTTCAAACACATTGAGGCAGGAGGGAAGGGAGGCTTGGGAGACAAGTTGACTAAAGTGAAGCCATATTGGTTTTAGGCTGACCCTGAACATAAAGAGTCACAAGATCCTACTCATGGAAGACTATCAGCCCCATGCCCTCTGGCAATAAAAGCCACAAAGGCTGGGCATTCTTAAGACTGCTCCCTGTGGTTAACTCTACAACCCTAAGACAATGGAAAAACAAATGGCCCAATGTAAGTAATAAACCCAAAGTTAAAGAGCTACCCCCTCCCTATATGGTTAGCTACCCCCTCCTTATATGGTTTCTAAAACCTTTCAGTAGAGACAAAGGGGGTCCTCTTCCCCATCTGGGAGGGAGACCAATACTTTGTGAAGTAGCTCCTTTCTTATTTCTAAATGTCTTGCTCTTGAATTCTTTCACAGACAAAGCCAAGAACCCACATGGCAAGTGTCCTGAGACCCTCCCTCTCAGAACCTTGGCCCATCTGGTGTCAATACCATTCCTGAAGCAAATAATCATTTAATGCAAAAGTCTGGGTATGAAATTAGCAATTACAACTTAGAAATATCTAATTTCTTTTATGACTTTTTCACAGTACATTTGGAGCAAATTATCAAAAAATGAGATACAGGGTTTTTAAAAATCACGTTTACTGGATATTTTCCCAAAAGTATAAAATTACTACTGTCATATTAATGTTGTCAGTAATGACTTCACTTTGCATTTCTATTTCTTTGCATGGTCTTAATCCTTTTTGGAATCTCAAAGACCTCATTTCAGAAAACAGGCATTGATGATAGCTTCCCAGGGTCATCAATATTCTTTCAAATCTCCCTCCTTTCTCCCAAATACATCTAGTTGAATACTAGCCAGTTAGACAGTGAATGATAAAAATTCCAATTAGTACCACACTTTGAAGTAATTTAAAGTATTTTCAAGTTCAATTTTGAGCGTATTTAATTTTCAACAAACACATGATTTAAGACTGAAACCTGTCTATAAGATGTGACTGATCAATGTTGCGTAGGTACATGGGAATTACACATAATTAACAACCAAATATTCCTTCATGATATCAATGAGAAGACATGATATATTTATGTACTAAATTACACCAAAAATACGGATAAAAAAAATAAGAACACAATTTTAAATCTGGTTTCAGATGTGAAAAGTGAGAGTTTCAGCAGAGTGTACTACAATAACTATTTGTTTTCTATGTTTGATAATTTTAAATTTACTTTTATGTTTTGTGTGTGTGTGTGTGTGTGTGTGCATGTGTAGGTTGTGTTTTAGAGAGATAAGGACTCAAATGTCGGGTGTGATTTTGAAAAAATATCACTCAGAGTTTCAGTTTTCCTTATTCATAAAATGAAAAAAAAAACCATTGATCAACAAACATTATTTCAAGATAAATATGTATATGTGTGTATATATATATATATATATACATACATATATACATATATAAAGATAGCCAAGTGTAGTATAACTATTATAACTTAATATTTTATAATATTAAAAATTTAACATTTTTCATATCATGCTATTTACCAATGAATATGCACAAAATTACTTTAAGCTTATTACTCCAGACATGTTACCATGAGATTGTAACTTCCTTAAAATAATCCATTAATCAATTTTTTCAAGATACCTGTACTTTGCTCTCTCTTTTTTTTTTTTTAAAGTTTACTTATTTTCAGAGAGAGAGCACACTGCATGTGAGCATAAGCAGGGCAGGGGCAGACAGAGAGGGAGAGAGAGAATCCCAAGCAAGCTCCACACTGTCAGTGCAGAGCCTGATGTAGGGCATGAACCCACAAACCATGAGATCATGACCTGAGCCAAAATCAAAAGCTGGACGCTTAACTGAGCCACCCAGGGACCCCTCCTGTTGAGTAAATTTTATTGTTATTATTTTATAGGTAAAGGAAGGAA